AAAGAGTGCTTACCTGATTTTTTTTGCGGACGTCTTGGAGGAAGAATCGGGAGGCGCTTGTGGCGGGTGAAGCCTCTGTCTTTGGCTTCCTTTTGTTCTCTCCGTTCCTGCTCCTCTAGTCACTTCTCCCTGTCTCTTTTCTATTTCGCTTTCTTCTTCCTCTTTTTTCTTTTTTTTTTGTTCTCTCTTCCTCCTCGGGATTCGTTGCGTCCTCTGCCTTTTATAGGCTTTTCGTGCGCAAAACTGATCCTTATCTTCCCCCGGACACTGATCTTCATGTGTACATAGAACTTGAGACTCCGTATCTTGGTTGGATTGGGACACCGACAGTCCTGCCATTGCTGGACTGTTGTTGGTGGTTTCCTCCGCGCCTCATTAGCTTGTTCACGCACGCTTGCTACAAGAGATGTTTAATTAAAATTCAATGTAACAGTGCCAAGTGAATTGAATTGAGAGCGGGGGAAGAAAGAAGACTTACCTGTGGGACGTTCTGGACGAAGACGCTGCGGACTTTTTCTGGGATTCTGAAATTCCCTCCTCTCTTCTTCTGCCCTGTCGTCTTTCTTTTCTGTTCTTTTTATTTGCTGTGTTTTCCGCTTTGTCCCCTTCTCTCTCTGCTGGTTTTTTTCGTGTTCTCTCCCCTCTCTGTATCTTCTCTGTGTTTTCTCCTCTCGTTCGTCCCTCAGTTTTTTTTTTCTTTTCCGCTCTCTCTGTCCTCTGGTTTCTGGTCTCCTGTTCTCGTGTTTGTTCCTTCTCTTTCGTCTCTCTCTTCTGGTTCTTTAATTTTTTCTCTCTCCATGTTCGTGGCCCTTCCTCTGGCTTTTATAATGCCAGAGGATGCCATGCGGTCGCCTCCAGATAATGAGGCGACCTTGTAGGACTTTTTCTGCAGGAGTAATGGCTGGGGACGCATCGTGGAGGCGAGCTGGCAGGCGAGGCGACCGTTTTCCTAGCCTGATGAGTCGAAGTAGATGAATAGTGTTCTTTGAAAATGGGCCGTTTCGTTCCTTAACTGATATGGCGAATTTCAATTGGCCCCTGAATTTCTGATGATTTGCAATTGGACTCTTATTCATGGAAAACCTACTTTTTTTAAGTTTGTCCTGGATGAATTGTAATTATACCCTTGTATTATAAGCGTTATTTACAAAAAAAAAAAAAAAAATTTGTTTCTGATTTACTCAATTCAGTTTTTAGTTAATTCTTTATCTTTATATTTTTTAATAATTACTCCTGGAAAAGTCAACTAAACTATCTATATTATGATCTGTTATTCATTTTGATTTTTAAACTTTAATTTCATGTAAATTTGTCCTATATCAACCTCTAACTTTGGTTTTTTTTAATTAAGCTTCTAATTTTATTAATTAAATAAATTATAAGTTTAATTAAATTCTCAAGCTTATCAAGTTTTCAATTAAGCTTCTAATTTTATTAATTAAAAATTTAAAGTTTAATTATATTTAATTAATTTCTTAAACTTATCAACTTTTTTTAATTTTCTAATCAATGACTCATGTTTATAAGTCAATTCTTATTAGTTCTTAAACTTTCAATTTTTATTCTCTTTAACCAATACTCAATTTTTTTTTTATTCATTTATTTTTTTGTTAATTTTTTTAAAAAAATTAGAAATTAGGTTAGGACACATCACAATCGTATTTTTCTCTTACTTTAGCATATTAAAAGGGGAGGCTATAAATCCACCAAATTACATAATTAAGCATTAAATCCATAAGTTGTTCAAGTGTCAATAAAGCGCATGAAATAGATGATGTATGAAATGGTTGCACCAGAAGATGAAACACAGCCTAGAAACTGGTTGGGTCACTCCAAGCGGATTCCTTTCCCTCCTCATCACTCTCTAAATTAATTGCAGCTCTGACACCATCACCTAGTGGAAAGTCTCTCACGGCATGCTTTTGATGGGCACAAAACATTTATGCTTGCAGATCCTAGTTCTGCTCTCGTTGCCTGTAAGAGCATAGGAATATTTTATGAATGGTTCCACAACAGTACAAGCAAGGGGAAAATGGGATGTCTATACGATGTAGCAGTTGCTTTTGAATCGCACCCAAACAGTTGGATGTCTAGTCAAACCCAATCATTTGGTAGTGGTGAAAATTTATATGGTGTTTTAAAAATAATTAGTAATATTGTATTAGATATTTTTTAAATTAATTTAAAAAATATACATAAAAAAAGAGAAAAAATAAAATCCATGACCCATTATTTTTTTATCCTATTTGAATGTATTCTTTTAAAAAATAGATATAGTAAATAATTAATAAGATATCATAATTATTACTAGAAAGCCTTAAAGTTTCTCACTAATTATTTCTTTTTTTATGCACTCATTGTTAAATTTGGGAAACCATTGGAGAGTTTATAGATGTACGTTTAAAAAATGCAAATGTGAACAATCGTGCTATAAACTGTGGGTTTGTCTTTAGTTTGTCATCGAGCAATATCTGTGTCAAAAAGTGTTCGGAGTACATGGCGTCGTACCAGTAGAAGATCCAAACCAACTGCTGTCCACTGGATCTTTCCACCGGCTATATTTTTAATCCATGTTAGGTTATTAATCATAGCACTTCCCACTTTGAGTTGAAAGTGGAATCAGCAGCGCTAGTTGATGCATATACGATGCTGGAATTGACTAAGACCTAATATCTGCAAAAGAATATTGATATTCAAAGGATCAGTTATTGAACAAGATTAGGAATTATGATCATCATGAATCTTTTGAGATAAAAAGCACAAAGCAAACTGCACTATCTCCTATCCGAAATCAACCAGTGGCGGACCATTAATGCTCGTAAAGATGATCCAAGAGTAAGAAATTATGTTTGCGAGATTAATTCCACCTAGATGTTTCTGTGGACTCGTGGCTATATCAAGCCAGAAGGTTAAAATTTAACGACGAGAACTCAACATCGCTGCCTGTGCCTTGCTATTCCTCGGGGAAGATCATGCTTCTGTACGAGGTAATCTTACCACTCCTGTAGTAATAACACATGACTCAAGAGATGGCTGCAAGATTCAGTCCCATGGGAGAGCTTTATAATCATATTTATATATTAAAAAAGCAATTCAATTTAAAAATTTAAATTATTAAATAAAATATTAAGATATAATTTATATTATTTTTTAATAAATATATTTAAGTGAAAAAAATTATATAAACTCATATTTTTTATATTATTTTTTAATAAATATATTTAAATGAAAAAAATTATATAAACTCATATTTATTTTTTTATTAAATAAATAAAAATAGTAAAATTTAAATTTGTAATGATTAACTAACCCAATTTTGAATTTTAAAATATTAAATATAATTTTAAAATATAATTTATATTATTTTTTAATATTATAATTCATATTATTATTTCATGACAAGACAAGGGCAGAAAAGAAACAGTAGCCCAACCCCAGGTTCACAGAAGTCACAGCATATCAGGAGTACTTGAAGAATTTTGTAACACCTAGCCTTGTAGCTGGTAGATGGTGGTAGGGCATGTAAAAGTACAGTGCGGTTAGGTCACAAACTGTTTTACACGTAAGCAAAAGGGTGGCAGAGGAAAATTGATTGATTGGGTGTGTGCCACCCAGATCCATTTGTGGCCATGAACCCGTACATTCTACCGCCCCTTCTGGTGATGTGAAACGAGCGGCAGTGTTTCTTATTTTTCTAATGTTTTCCATTCACGCAGCCTCCTCAAACTTTAACTCAAATTTCAAACCTGAAAGCGAAGGACACCAAGCACATGGCATCTGGGTCTGAATTCCTTATGAATACGTAACTCTGTCCAATCAATTAAGCAACCCAGCTCTGTAAGATTATATTGATCCATTGCCTGAAATGCATCGATTGGAAGTTTTTTTCAAGGTTGTCTTTTTCGTTTTAACAGTGTTTAAATATAATAAAGGTTGTTTTTAAAACACTTTTAAAAAATTTAATCGAACACTGAAAAAAGTAAAATTTTCTAAAAACAAGGTGGAATGGACTGCCAAAAGAGATTAAAAGGCTTAAAAGTATTACCTTGATTTCTCCTATAAAGCTAAATATTTTATAAATGAGATATATACATAGTTCTCTTGATTTCTCATATAAAGCTTTTTTTCTTGTTTTTGTAAACGACATATCTACAGATGGGCTGGGACGATATTTCAATCCTCATCCCTCTCTTCCGCTGCCGCTGCCGCTGCTGCTCCTGCCAATTAGACAGATTAACACTCTGCACTTAGCAAGCGGTCCCGCGCCTCTCTTTCTTTCTTGAAATTTCCGTGTAAAGAAGCGATAAATAGAGACAACAACTTGGAAGAGCCAAGCAATGTAGGACCCTCCACTTCCGTACCGAAGGCTGTACCACAATGTACCCCAACCCACTAGATGAACAGCTCAGATCTCAATAAATTGGCACCACCAACCTCATTGCCCCTATTGTTATGCGCTTCTAGTTCTCTCGCATGAGAAGATAAAAAAGAGAGGTCTAGCTAAAATCATCAATGGAGGAGGGAGATACAGATCGACCATCACTAGGGTTCCCGGTAGGTTTAGTTCTTCTATTGTTTATGTTGTTTATCATGAGTGGCTTGTTCAGTTGCTGCCTCCACTGGGAAAAGGTACTTTCCCTGCTTGGAGTTTCAAGCGAGGACAATCATTCCCGCATCGAAGAAGATGTAGAACATGTGCCCCAGAAATCTTCACCCCCTCATGTGGTATATCTCTCTTTCTCTCTCGCATCTCGATGTCTTTTTCTTGAATTAATTTTTGATATTTAATTTCCTTGTGGAAGGAAAGAGATAGGAAAGAAAAGGAAGGGACAAGATTAAAAACTAAACAAGGGGAATTCTTGTACATGATCTTATCTTCCCATATATGTAAAGCATCTCAGGGGATCTAATAACATCACCTTTTTTTTTTGGGTTTTGATTAATTGATGAGAATATTATTTTTCGACGAGGAGAAAAGGAAATCTTAGGTTTCTTTTGATGATAATATGATCATATCGTTGCTTAATTTTGAAGTACTTAAGTGCTCGTGTATGTGTTTTAACATTCAAACAGGAGTTGAAGAAAAATCAAGGCCAGAGCCTTCCAGTTTTGATGCCAGGGGATCAAGTACCAAAGTTTATAGCAGTGGCATGTCCATGTGAGCCTCCGCGAACTGAGAAGATAACAGTTCAAATTCAGAAGCCACCTTCTTATCCAGTACCTTTATACTGATTAATGACTTCACAGTACTGCGCGATCATTTTGTGTGTGTGTATAATAGAGAGACTAGGATGTATCAATTAATTAGTTCAAATTTCTTATTTTTTGGCTATTCCTTTTACTTAATAAGGCACTAACAAGTGCCGACATATTTTCGAGATGGTTTTTGCTTTTGGATAGAAAAGAGTAAATTGGCAAATCAATGCTACAAAGGTTACAGAGATTCTGAATTTGAACAAGAGAACTCAAAAAAGATGAGACGTGCAGGTTGCCCAATGACGAATTAGCATAAATTAGGTGTTGGTTGGTAATTATAGTAAGATCATTTTCAATTATGATTAGCAAATTGCTAGTTGAATCAACGATAAAGAATGATCAAAATTTCTGGACTTTTTTTATGCTTCAAGTTCTCTTTTCAGTGATGCTTTTGGGAGATGGTAAAGCTCTTAGTTTTTTGAGGAAGAGTAAAATTGAATCAAGCAAGCGTGAGAATAGTATCTTGGCACCTTTATTTTACGAGCTAAAAGCAGCATCATTCATATTTCGAGCAAAATCCAAGCTTTCCTCCACATTCTGTGTGCTGACAGATCCTTCAGTTTGCACTCTGGTTTCTTAAACTTGTGCACGGGCCTGGCTTTAACGAGCAATGGGAATCCAGAGGACATAGAAGGCCCACGCATACCTAATCCCTTCCATCGTGCGCTCTAGATAATGGAACGTCTAAAGGACAGCATGTATTTAATTAATTGATCGACAACCATTTGTCAACCAATAAATATAAAAATAAAAGGTGTTGATACCTTTATTGGACTTGTCTTGATATGAGTTGGATACTTTTTTTCGACTCAGAAAATATTACTATAAATTCAAAGGTTAATATGTATAATAAAATAAAATAAAAAGTATATGTATTAATAAAAATGTATATCTTAAGTTAATTATTAACGTCGTAGAAAAATAAGACAATGTTAAAAATATTATAATGAAATACCATTATTTTTAGTTTTTATATGATAATTTTATAAAAAAATATAAAGAATAAAAAAGAAAAAATTATGAAAGGAACAAAAATAATGGTGCAAATATGTCTATAGAAATACGGTAAATATTCCACGTGTGAATAAAAAATAATAATTTTTTTCCAGAAAAAATGCTAAGAAAAAAATAAGAAAAATAATAATTTTTTTCCAGAAAAAATGTTAAGAAAAAAATAAGAGAAGCTAAAAAAAAACAATTACAAAATAATGGAAAGAAGAAAAAAAACTATGATAAATATACTGAGTATAAAATGATAAGTATGCCAAATGTAAAGAAAAAAAAAGAAAAAAAAATTGTATATTTGTTACACTGCTATGGTAAAATATGAAAAAATTATAAAATTATAATTTATACAAGAAAATAATGCTTTCTTTTAATATCTTTACTAGATTTTTGGCATGGGTTATGCTACAAGTCAGATCATGTTTTTTTAAATTTAAAAGAAATTTTAAAGATGTTAAGTAAAAAATTTGATGCACATTTAATGGAAACACTTTTAAAATATTTGGATAATGATATACAACATTTTAAAAAATTAAAAAAATAAAATATTAGTTTAATTCGATAAATCATGATTAATTTTATAATTTATATTACTAGAACGTGATAACTTTGTAAAACTCAAATTAAAATAAAATAGAAAGTCCAATTATAATCAATTAAATATTAAAAGCTCAAAAAATAAAAAAAAACATTCAATTAAAATAACAACCCAATAAAATTATATTTAAGTAAATAAAAATATAATGAAATATTTAAGTAATTAATTTAATTTGATTTAATTCGAACCAAGAATTTATTTTCAGGACAATTAAATTTATTAAAGAATGATAAATAAAAATATTCATGATAACCAGGTTATGTTCATAACTAGTAGAAAATCATATAAAAAATAATAAATCTTAATTTTTAAATATATCAAATATTGAAATATAAAAATTAAAAACATACCTATTTTTTAAAAAATAACAGAGCGAATCTCTCTCCCAAACCTGAAGTAATTTTTAAAATTGTCAAATTGCAGTCTTGGATTTAATAAAAAAAAAAAACTTAATTTAATATCAAAGTATAAAATAAAAAAATTCAAATTAAAAAATTAGCATAATCAACAAAACAATCACCTACTAAAACTTCAAATTCTCTGCAGGCTTGTTTCATGGTTGAGTTTAAATCGTGAAATAAAAAAAAAATCTATAGATCGCTACCTTTCTTACAAGTATAGCTCCTCGTAAGCTGTTTCCTCAAACTCTGCAAGCTTTAATTGAGTAAACGAAGAATACTTCATTCACAAAAAAATTTAAACTCGGAGTACATTCCAGGTTACATGGGAAAATAGGCAAAGCATCGCCAGAACTACGAACACATGAGCCGCAGTTCCCTTCTCGAAGTGCATGGCTGTGGGTCACATTGAATCCAGTACCAGGAGGCAGTTCTTTAGCCAGCCTTTTGGGATCTGCTCTGCAGCATCCATGAAAGTAACTGTCTCCAACATAAAAAAGATAAAAAGAGAGGGAGAGCGGATATTAATGAAAAATAAAAATCTTAAAAAAAAGGCTAGGTGGTGTCATGTCGAGTTGGCTGGCCCAGACAGCCTGATGTAAGAGGAAATCCAGGTGATTGGGCCTAGAAAGTTAGGAATCCATGATGTAAGAGTGAAAGATGCGTCGTTCTTTCATAAATAGAAAGGATGACATGTTGTCCACCGAGTCGACAACGTGTCATTTACTGGGATATCTTTCTATTTATTATAATATTTTTAGAGTTCAAGTGAGTGATGCCGCAAGCATGTTTTTAAATTCATGAAAAAATTAAAAATTAAAAATTAACCAGAAACTCTCTTTGTTGTTCGTTTATTTTAATTAAGTTTTAGTGGAAGTATGTTTTTTTTTTATCCGAAGTGTGGTTTTATAAATAAATAAAAATTATCATGAGTTGTAAAAAGATTTTAAACCGATAAAAAATATGAGTTGTAAAAAGATTTTAAACCGATAAATTTTATTTTAATTATTTTGATATGATTGTATGAAAAACAAAATGAAAGACTAATATTCTCATTGACTATTCATGTAATTTTTTTAAAAAAAAAAAACTTGTGAATTTTTAGTTTCATGTATATAATAATAATAAAAGGAAAATATTACTGTAAAGAACTAAACTTTTCTTTCAAAACATGGCATGATAAAATAATTTTTACAAATTGCAGTAATTATCGCCCATGTGTGCTGTTAAGATGGCCCAGGTGCAAGTCAATTTTAGAGCCCAGGCCTAAAAAATCTTATTTTGAAGATAGCCGACGATGCATGGTCTGTTTAGGCCGATAACCTGTCTACTAATGCAACTCTTTTTGATCATTGAAGATGGATGAAAAATTAAAATCTCAGTTTTTTTACCCCAAAAATTATAATTTTAACCTTTTTCCAATCAAACACATGAAAATAAATATTTTATGAACCTTCAAAACCTCATTTCAAATAACAAAACACAATTAATTTTTCATAAAAACTTAAGATCAAATCAAACAAATATTTGAAATACCAATCTATTTGTTTGACATCGGTAGAGTTAGAAATTCTCTTTATTGAATAATTGTATTACAAATGAATAAATGAATTTATAAACACTAAAATCATAATTAATATAGTTAAAATCTAATCACTCAAGAGTTTTTTCTATCATTTTTTTTAATGACTTTCTTTCTCTTTCCTCGACAACTAGAAATTGAAATGCAAAGTACATCAGATTTTATGATTGAAATATTAATGAAAGAAAAGGGTTATTTTTACTGTAACTTGCAAGTAAAATGAATGTTCAATGGAACAATGATTCAACGGTTTTACCCCTTCGTTAAAAAAACTTAACACTGTCAATAAAGAGTGTTTTAATATATTTATAAGATTCGTTAGTCATTACCAAATTAATTGAAAGGCAAACAAGTCTTTTTTTAATTTCAATTGCATAATGAAATGGCTAAAGCACTATTGGAATAAAAAAGTTAAACTAAAGCCAAAAAAATATTTTTATGTTCTGACAATGGTTTTCACATAATAATCATGTTAAATAATGGACAATTTATCATTTCAACAAGCTTATAAAATAATAAATACAGTAAAATAACTAAAATATTTATTTATTGTGTTATTAAAAATGTCTTTATGACGCACTTTACTTGTTGATGCAGAGCATGCATGTAGTAATTATCTAGTTTGTTGCTGAAAGATTTTTATTTTTTTTTCCTCTTAATATCTCTCAACTCCTTCAAAAATTATAGTTTAGTTCTATTTGTTGTTTGTATTTTAATTTCTAAACATTTTGTTGAATTTTGATCCTTATTATTTTGTATTTTTTAGTTCTTTTACTAAATTAATTTTTTTCAATTGCACTTTTCATTTAAATATAAAATTTATTTTATTTTTTAATTGTTATTTTTTAAATACTTTTCTATAATTTAAATTATTTTTTCAATGTTTTCCTTCCATGTTTAACTAATTAAAAATTAAACTTCAAGATTTTTTTCATGTTTAATAGGTTATGAATTGAGATACATAGTTTATTTTTAAAAAAAAAATTAAAAAAAATTTAATCCATCTATTATTATATTTTTTTATATAATTAAAATAAAATCAGTTTATTAAATCTAATTAGGTGGAATTCAAGCATGCATTTTTCTTCTTCTCTTTTAACAAGTTTACGGTAGCTAAACATATTTTTTTGTGTAAGAAAAACAATTCTACCCCGCAACGAGGATACACTCACCGAGGCCAGTTACGTTCTCATTATAAACTGAACACGCCCAAACTCAGATCGGAGCGGGGTTGAGCTAGAGCTCGTAGTCCATTTCCTGCCCAAAGGACGCAAATTCAGTTCGAACTATAAACGAAACAGAGTCTAGCATCTGCACTTGGCTTGCCCTGTAATTGTGTTCCTTCGGGTTTTGGGCAGGAAATGGACTATAAAGAAGTCTTGAAAATATGTTTCAGTTCAAGCATATCCACATCATGTTTTCTTTTCCTTTTTTTTTTTTTTTGGGGGCGTTTGTTTCACCAAGACCGAACCCTTCATTCGTTCGGTGGACGACCATTTTTTTTTTATTTTTTATTTTATTTATGTAAAGTGTCTAAGTCAATTTACACGCATCACGATTAATCCTTTCAGCCCATGAATAACATGCAAACCCAACCATTCTTACCCAAGCTTGTCGTGCAAAATGCGACAGTCAAACCAGTGGCATCAAAGGGATTGACTGGGAATTTTGGCATCTATCTCAGCCGTACAGAAACAGGCATCCAAAGCTGGTTCGACCACGAAGTCTTGCTGTATATATGCGGGAAGTTCGAGCAAAAGAGAGAACGTT